CAGCTCGCACTTCTCGGTGCTTCGGCACACGAGCAGCTGGCAGGACGGCCGCAGCGGGTGGTTGTGCAGCGTGGCGATGGCCGCCTGGGCGCCGCGCCGCGAGCTGTAGCGGGCGTAAGCGAAGCCGCGGTTAAGGCCGCTGAAGGTCATCATCAGGCGAAATTCGTAGAGGCGGCCCACACGTTGGAACAGTGGGATCAGCTGGTGCTCGTACACGTCCTGGGGCAGCCGCCCGATAAACACCTCTGACCCGGCTGGCGGCGGGCTGCCCACCCATCCTGGGAGGAGGGGATGGGGAGGGAGAACCGTCATCCACCCGGATGGTTCCGGGTTCGGGGCCCAAGGACCCAGCGCGAGAAGGGCTATGTATGCAAAAGTCTGTGAAATGGGTACACCGTACTCCGCCGGATCGCTGGCATAATTGGGTGGCTGATCTAAAATCAAGACTGGCACCTTAAGACTGGCTCCTTCCTCGACGGCGCGGGACGGTGGGAAGCCACAGAAAAGAAGTTTCATCTGCTTGGGGGCGGGGGTAACGGGTAGTTAGGGGTTTCTGACTGTGTAGCCTCGGGGTAGGCGCCCCCTCCCCACAAATGCGGCGGGTTGGGGCCGTCGAGGCCTGCGTAGCCCCCCAGCAGGCGCAGGGACAGGGACTACCGTACCTGGGGGTGGCCCGCCATACTTCCTCTGCCCGTTCACCTGCACCAGGCGGATGCCCGTCTCCCTGACCCACGCCTCCAGCGCCGCCTTGTTCTCTGGATTCACCCTCTCACACCATAGCTGAGGGGGAAAGGGCAGGTTGGAGTCGCCGATTGCCGCGACCACCCCCACCGCCCCAGTGATGCGGAGGGCTCATCGACCCCCTGGTAGCCAACCACTTACCTCACACTCCCGCTTGGACTGCATGGCTCTCCCGCTGGCTTCCTCGTACCCCCTTTATAACCTCCTCCCTGTCTGCCTATCTGGAAGCTTCCCTACCCCTCCACCCCCCCAAGCTCTCATTGGCTCTGAGCAAGACCCCGCCTCCCAAGGGGGCGGGGGTATCCACCGCACGTGCGCCGCGGGAACCTCCGACAGTCAGGTGAAAGCTAGAGACCCTAGCGGATGGGTCTGCGGCAGCCCCACCGCCGGAAACATGGCTCGCAAACTGGCAGGATGGACGGGCGGCGAGAACGTCAGGGCCCCTTCAGCCGGCGAAGGAGCCCGTGGGGGCTACTGTAAGTCTCTCTCCACATTTTCCACCGCTGAAGTGGTCGCAGTGGGAGGCCCAGGTTCTGAGAGGGAAGGCAGGGCTAGGCAATAGTGACACAGGCAGGCTCCAGTGGTTGAGGCATTTTATTGGACCTTTGGCAGCTGGTGGTGGGGAACGTTCCTTCCTTCTGGTGTAGGGCCCTGCAGAGGACACCATCTCGGACTGGTCCGTGTAGCTCAGGAACACAGGCAACTAAGCCCCCAGGGCCTCATGTGGAAAATGGTGTAGTACCTGGCCATTTTTGCCTGTGATTACCAATAAAATAATCATAATAAAAATTAAAAAGTCTCTGTTCCGACCACTTTAGGTCTTCCTGCTGGAACAGAAGTGTGCAAAGCTGTTGAAGTACATATGCAGAGTTTTGTCTTAGCCTTAAATAATGCCAGTCCCACTTTCCTCTGGTCCTCTGCTCAACTCAGCAGATGCAAATGGGCTGGTTTGTTCTCCTTTTGATTTCCTCCACAAGGTCTTCTCTTCGGATGTCCACCTGGCCAGGATGGAGGAACAAGGTGGAATGAGCATCTTGCAGCTCCACTGCTCTCTGAGTGCCCATGCCTTCCTCTAGGCATCAGGTCTGGCTCAGCTGGGAGCAGGAACCCAATCAAACATCTCAGGGGAGACAGTGCTTGGGGGAGCCAGAGAGACACAGGGGATGTGTGGGATGGACAGTTAACCCTACATGACCACAGTAACATGCTACACCCCTTAAGTCCATTACGAGTGGGTGCTAATATGAATGCCAGGCTTTGCTCAGGTCTCGAATTGGGCATTGGCCTGCCGAAATGGCTTCCATTGCCTGTCCCTCAGCCTTCCTGCCCACCTGCTTACCTCTTCCCTGCTGGCCACTGAGCGGAGCTTGATGACCCCATCCTTGAGCTCTTGCTCACCGATGATGGCCACCAGTGGGATGCCTGTCTCCTCACAGTACTGCAGTTGGTTCAGTAACTTGGGGTTCTTCTTGTAGAGCAGCTCTGCCTGCAGGGGACCAGGGAAAAAGATGAAGGCAGGCTTCTGCAGTCCTCAGGGACAACTTCCTTGGGGCCCAAGCTAGTACTTTGCTCTGACCTTCACCCCAAGAAGTCACAGTAGTGGAAGGGTCACTGTGGATGAGCTTTTATTTCATTGTGCCCAGCACTCCCAAATTTGCTGCCACCCTGGGGCTTGCCTCCTCTACCTTGATCCCGGCATCCCAGAGCTCGGAGACCAGCTTCAGTCTCTCCTCCAGCAGCTTCTTCTGTGCGGATGCTACAAGCACCTGTGTCTCTGTGGTCCGTACCTTCTCCTCCAATGCCTAGGGAAGAAGCAGTTAAGAAACAGCTGGGCTGCCCTTTATACCACTGTCAGTGAACAACCAGAGCAGGCTCCTGTCAGGATTCTGAGACCAGGCCCAGCTCCACCAGGGCAGGCTAGTCTTCTCATCTAGCAACTGGGCCAAAAAAAGAAAGGTAGCTCTTAGAAGAATAAGAAATGAACTGACTGGCTTGTACATACGTCTTGCCAGAATAAATAATGTAGGGCAAAGGTAACTTATGCACAGTAACTTCAAACTTACCTCCAGCTAGTACTTTATGGGTCCACAAGAGCATTCACAAGGAAGTGATCCTCACTGAGCTCACCCAGCCAATCTGGTCACCCCTGGCAGTTCTAGTTCCCACTTACTTTCTGCCTGGTCAAGAGACTGTGTCTCATGCTTCAGGCACAGGGTACAACCCAAGGTGTGTGTGGATTAGTAGGGAGAGAGAATGCTGCTGCTGTCCATGTCTTTTTCTGGAAAACAGTTCCATAGTTCTTAGAACATAAGATGCCTATTGGAACAGTGACCTCAATTGGGAAACAAGTGGTTTCCACTCTAGAGAAAAGGATAGAGGGGTAGTGGGAAGGTTACTGCCAGAGCCTTCCTCAGGGGAAGAAATGCAACCAGACAGTTAAGAGCAGTAGCAGCAAAGGAGGGTTTGAGGCCACGAAGGGCTTCCCTCATGTTACTCTAGGTGCTAGAGAGTCAAGAGCACTGTCTGAGGGATCCCAGAGCCTCAGAACCATGCTTCCCACTTAGAGACAATATCCCATAGTGGTTGGGAGCAAGACATTGGAGTTCGGAGGCCTGGATTCAAATTCTGACTCTGCCACTTACACCTTGGGCAAATTATTTGATCTATAATACTTTAGTTCCCTTGTCTGCAAAATGTAAATAATAAAGGTAGCTACCCTCAGAGGGCTGTTTAAGAATTTTATTAGACCATGCATGAAAAGCACTAGGCACAGTCCCTGGCACAGAGTACTAAAATATGAAGTATTCTGTATTAGGAGGAAGATCCGAGTCTTTGGATAAACTGGCCTAGATTCCTGACAACCCTGAGGGAAGTAGGGACCCAGAACAAAGGAATTTGTGAAGAAAGAATGATCAGAGATCCATCAAGCTGGCCTATAATGGGGTAGGTGTCTGTGAAGGACAGCAATTCTCTTTTCTCCGTTTCTTTGAAAAGATACTACTCCTTGCCCAAAGCAGCACCAATTGCCCCCTTAAAGATCAAAGAAGATAGCTCAGATGCCACCAGCTCCCAGAGGGTCTTCTACCCAGCGCCAAGACCTACCTCCAGCCTCTGCTCCACGATGGAGAAGATCCGCTCTACCCCAATGCTGAGCCCCACGCATGGCACCTTGCGCCCTTTGGGGTCAAACATGCCCACAAGCCCATCATAGCGCCCTCCAGCGGCCACACTGCCCACGCCCAGGGGTTCTTCCCCTGCCTGGGCTGGGGACTGCAGCAGCACGGCCTCATAGATCACCCCAGTATAGTAGTCCAGCCCTCGAGCAAGGCTCAGGTCGAACGATATCTGGGGGGACAAGAACAGGGTCAGGCCAGAAGAGGATCAAGGACCTCCAGCCCCAGAGCTCAGCTGTGGCTCCCACCCCAAGCTGACTCACCTTGTCAGCAATGCCAAACAGGGTCAGATACTCAAACAGCAGCTTCAGGTCTCCCAGACCCTCCAAGGCCTGCTTGTTTTGGGACAGTTTAGGATCCTGGAGCAGCTGTTTCACTAGAGATACCCCACCTGGGGAGACAGATTTGTGAGCCAGACTGACTGACAAGAAAAAAATAAGGGTTCTACCTTTGCCTCTGGACTACACACATATGCATGAGTGCATACACACAGATAACACGTACATTCCCCCTGCCCCTCTCCTACACATACGCACACACAGAGGGGTTTTGGCTTTAGGCTGAGGGCAGTGGGATGGCTGCTGGGGAGGCAGGGTTTATTTCTCACCATGCTGCTGGACGTAGTCCCCAATGCGGTCAGCAACCTCAGGTGTGAGACCCTTCTCTCCTACCATCTCATTCTTTACTTCCTCCCAGGACACCTGAGCAGACAGAAACCAATCAGGGACCCCTGGGCAGCTTCCTCACTGCAGAGCAAGAGTAGGCCCTCCTCAGGGGGTGGTCTTAAGCAGAAACTGCCTGTCAACCTACATCCTGGGGCTAACTTTCCTCTGGTGGGCATAGAGGCAGGGCCCTCTCTCTCCTCATCTCTTCCATTTCTCAGGGCAGGGTGGGATCTGGGAAAAGAAGAGTCAAGTGTTTAGGTTGTTACCTTGTCCAGCTTGTCCACTGAGGAGCAGATGGTGCGGAACTTGCTGTCAGGAACACCACAGATGGCAAACATCCCGTCCAGGATGCGCCGATCATTCACCTGCAGTGACCCAAGGCACAGTGAGGAGAGAATCTCTTTACATGACCCTCAACAGCCTTGGTCACTTGGGCTCCTTGTCCTTCTGCACAAGGACCTTCTCCTGTGAGAGAGACCAGGCCCAACTGTGCCTTCCCAGCCCCATTCAGCTGACCTTGACCAGGAAGTCGCCTATCTGAAGTGAACTCAGGATCTCACACATGATCTTCAGGCACTCAGCATCAGGAATCATGGGGTCAAACTGCCCGGCAATGTCAAAATCCTGCAGGTAGAGGGGTAGCGAGAGGTCCTCAGGGGTATAATCTTCTTAAGTGAGGACTCCTGGGAACTCTGGAGGAGGCCTCTTTGCACTCATGCACAGACCACCTTCATTCTGTCTGACGGTCAGCTCAGGGTAAAACTCCAGCATTCTTGGGTCTCTTACCAGTCCTGGTTTCTTTCCCATCTATTGGGCTATTCTTTCATATCTCATCTATTTTTCCTTATTTCTACCACTGTGGGGGCAATTATATTGCCTTAGTCATTGTCTCTATTCACTCAGAAGCTCTGCCACCAGTCTGGAGGATATGATACCTCAAATACAATTTCCCCATCCTCTGCTGTGATCCTATCACAGGTTTAAGATAAAGAGCACTGGACCAAGAGAGCTAATCCTAACTTTTTCTTTCTTATCCCTATGATCTCTTCATCTTGCTGAGCTGCAAGTTTACTCATATATAAAATGGGGTGAATAACCTCTGTCCTGTATATGAAAATGCTAAAGAAATCTTAAGGCTAGCATTATCTGGGACATCCAGTTTGTTCAGGACACCATGAGCACTCAGTAGATTCTACTGGCTCAAGGGAGGGCCACCTTACCCATCCTGCCCCGCATACTCACACACTGGTAGAATTCCCGGTATCGGCCTCGTGTCATGGCTGGGTTATCCCGCCGGTATACTTTTGCTATGTGGTAGCGTTTAATGTTGGTCAGTTTATTCATTGCCAAATATCGAGCAAAAGGAACCTGATGACAAAGAGTTAAGGAGAAAGCCCCTCCCACATGTCTGGAATTTGATTATCTTCACCAACAGAAGCTGGGCTCTAACTCTACCCTGTGTGGGTAAAACCGCCACCTATAAGATTAACAGCATTTCTGAACATCAGCAAGAATCAGCTTTGTTACCACAAGGGAAAGCTGAAGTCTCAAAAAAGATTAAAGCTCCCTTTCTGTTTGGTAGTGTCTCCCCCCTGGGCTTTGCCAAGCACGGTAGGGGGCTGGGCAGACTGGCCAGGGAGCAGAAAAAGGGCCCCAAGTAGGATCTCTAAGCAGATGATTCTCTGACATAGCTTGGAAATAAAGGAAACATGCTGTTGGTCAATTAAAGAGAACTCTGTCCACTGGACAGGGCAAAGGAGAGGTATTCTAGAGCCAGGGGATTGCTGGCAGAGTCAGAATGGGCCCTGACAGAAAGCTGAAGTCTTTCTCAGGATTCAGAAGTCTTCTAAGGCTATGCTCTGTTTAGCCAAAGTCCAGCTCCTGGTTTAGAGAAATAATTTCCCTGATTGCTAAAGGCATTATATTTGATCCAATCTATGTCTAGCTGTCCCCAAACTTAAGGCTAGAAATAGCCTCAACTCACTGAGGGCCAGTCCATCCAAAGTGTCAAGAGCCCAAGTTTAGAAAGATACAGTGAGGTCGTAGCGAAGGGACAGCAGCTCCCCACCCTGGTCCTTCAGGTCATAGATAAGCTTAGAGTCTTCCCCATACTTTCCAGTCAGTGTTTCCTGGAGAAAACATAAAGAAATGTGGTCACAGTGATAAATATAACAATTTAAAAGGAAGTTTTAAAAACAAAAACCCACCACTCTAACATAATTGATTTCAACTTGTCTGTATTTCCTCTGCTCTCCCAATGCTTATGTATTCGATGTTAATTATAACCAAAAAGAAACACCAGTTCTGTTTTCTGCTTATCACATTTCCATTTTGTGACACAACTGAAGTATTATTCTTAAAAGCTGCATAATATTCCAGCGAGAAGCTCTGTATTTACTTCCTTCCTAGTATGAAACTGCTACGTGTTTAGGTTATTCCAATTGAAAAAAATATTCCATAGCATTTCAATAAATATATTTGGGTACATAGTTTTTTTCTTTTGAATAATTTTTGGAGGCTAAACTCTTAGGAATGGGTTATTAAATCAACAAAGATAAATTTTTTTATAGCACCTGAGATTTGAACACTGTCAAAAGCCAAAACTAAAAAAAGTAGTCCTTGCCCTGTGACATCCTCAACAAGATGTGAATATATTTTACCTACCAGACTGGCTAAGTTTAAAAAGCATGAAAACTCCCAGTGTGTCAAAAATAGAAACACTCACACAGTAGTTGGTGTTATGGGTGGAACTGTGTCCCTTCAAAATTCATATATGGAAGCCCTTTTCCCCCAGTAACCTCAGAGTGGGACTATACTTGGAGATAGGGTCTTTAAAGAAGTAATTAAGCGAAAATGAGATCACCAGGGTGGGTCCTAATCCAATATAACTGAAATCCTTATAAAAAGAGGAAATTTGGACACAGAGGAGGGAAGATGATGTGAAGACCCAGGGAAAAGACATCATCTAAAAGCCAAGGAGACAGACTTGGAACTGATCCTTCCATCATGACCCTCAGAAGGAGCCAACCCTGTTGACAGTTTATCTTGGACTTCTAGCCTCCAGACAATAAATTTTTTTTCTTTTTTAATTTCTGTTGTACAAGCCACCCAGCCTATGGTATTTTGTTATGGCAGCCCTAGCAAACTAATATAGTTGGTAGAAATAGGAAGGAGTACAACCATTTGACCCAGAAATTCTACTTCTATGAATTTACCCTGCAGATAAATGTGCACTAGTACTAGACACAGTTCCAAGCCCTGCGTATGTATCAGTGAACAAAGGCAGTCCATGCCCTCAAGAATCTTCTATAGTAACAAGATTCAGGCAGTACACCATGGAAGGAAACAGATTAACAGGTAATTTTCTGATAGTGATAGGGCTACTTTAGACAAGGAATTTGAAAAGGATTATTTAAGGAATGGCATTTTAGTTGAGATCTGACATTAAAATCTGTCATGTCTATAATTTACTCTGAAATTCAAGTCATGCAAAGAGCTAGGGGAAAAGGGAGCTAAGGAAGAGGGAAGAGCAAGAACAAAGGCCCTAAGACAGAAACACATTTAGTATGTTCCAGGAATAGAAAAAGACCCTAGTAGCGCAGTGCACAGGGGGAAGAAGAGCATGAGACGAGGTGGGAAAGGCAGGCAGTGGCCAGATCATGTAGGGCCTTGTAAGCCTGAGTAAAGGGTTTGAATTTTATTATAAATGCATCTGGAGTCACTAGATTTTAAGCGGTCAGTGATGCAACCTGCTTTTAATAGCAAAGAACTAGAAACAACCTCAGGGTCCATCAATAGGCTGGTTGCATATTCATCCTTTATATGTTTGGTTTGCATGCATCTGGGAAACATCTCAAGCACAGGTAACATGGAATTCAGTGTTGACAGGAGCCATAACAACTTCCATTTCTGAGGAGGCTCTCTTTTGGAAGCTGCTGGCCTCAACCAAGGTAAGTAAAAGGCAGGACCTCTCCCTCTACGCCCGTCCCGTGCCCCGTCTCACTGGAGAAAATACTAATCTTTGTCAACAACAACAGAGAGACCTTTAGGCCCTCTCTGTTGTTATCTGCTTCGTTGTCTGTATCCCATCCTTCCACCATGCAGTCTCTCTTCACCGCCCCTCACCTTTAGTTCAAACACAGGTGTGTCAATCACTTCTGCACCATGGCGCTTGAAGCAGCTGATGATTACTTCAAACACCTTCTCCCGAACTGCCATCTGCCGGGGACTGTAGTCTCTTGTGCCCTTGGAGTCAAAATCAGCCAAAGAACCAGGGATGGGGTTTAAAAACAAAGAACAATAAGGTCTAGAAATATAAAAGCATGACCTTAACAATGATGAATGCAAACCTTGCCCCAAACTTAGATTTTCCTACAAACAATTCCCTATTAGTTATCACAGCCATTTGCTCTCAGCCTTCTAAGCCCCCCACTCCTTGCCCCTGCCAGCTTTTTGGCTTGGTCCTATTTTCTAGAGTTCTTGGAACTCTATTCTCTGAGAAATTTTCCTATACTAATTTTCTGGGATAACAGAACATTACTCTGCCCAACATAAAACACCTACCTGATGACAGGCATATAACCAACTCAAGCTGGCTTAGCTAATTGAATTCCAAACTTTACAAGGAACATTCTCTCCTAACAGAACTTAAAATAGAAATCCTAATGAATACTATTTGTTTCCTAATTTGTTTCTGATAGCCCTATGGCATGAGCTGGGCAGATACTTTTTTTTGATGAATTAGAAGATGTTAGGAAGCTAAGTCATTACTTAAGACCACTCAGCAGGTTGGTGGCAGTCAGTACTAGAACTCTGTTCTTCCAGGTCAAAGTTTCTAGTTTGGGCTTTTACATGCTACTCCCATGTAGGAGCTCTTTGGTCTCAGGGCCTCTTTATACTCTTACTATTTATTAATGACCCCAAAGTGGATTATATCACTATAAATATTTATTGTATTAGAAATTAAAACTGAAGATATTTAAAAATATTTATTAATTCACTTAACAAATAGAAAATCTATTACATGTTAACATAAATAACATTTTAGGAAAATGTAACTACTTCCCAGAACAAAAAAAGTTGGTGAGAAGAGTGGCACTGATTTACATTTTTGTAAATCCTTAATGTCTGGGTAAACAGAAGACAGCTGTATTCTCATATATGCTTTTTGCAGTCTGTTCTGTTGTGATTTGTTGTTCTGGTTGAGTATATAAAGAAAATCTGGCCTTACAGTGATGTATAATCATAAAAAGAGGAATATTTTAATAAACTTTTCAGCTAACTGTAGATATTCTTCTTAAACTACACTAAAAACCCAAAAAGCAGTAGTTTCTTAAAGATTGGTTGCAATGTGGAATCTGAAACTACATAAGTGAACTACTCATATTGTTACATTAAAATCCATTATAAGGTACCCAGAATTCACAGAGACAGAAAGTAAAACAATGGTACCAGGGACTGGAGAGAGGGTAGAGTGGGGAGTTACTGTTTAATGGGTAAAGATTTTGTTTGATATGATGAAAAAAGTTCTGGGGATGAACAGAAGTGATGGCTGCACAATGATGTGAATGTACTTAAAGCCACTGAAATGTACACCCGAAAATGGATGAAATGGCAAATTTTATGTTATGTATATTTCACTAAAATGTAAAAACTATCTGTTACTCTATCTTGTACTTTGGATATTTTTACATAGGCATGATTCTATAACATCATGCATTGGTCATTTAGAAAATATTGATTCTTTGATAAGTTATACAGAGCTTCCAGATGTTGATATATTTCATTATACAGTATCAGAAAACCATATTTGTTAATGTCAACATAGATCTCATGAGGAAAGTCTTCAAGTACTGGGAGATGTCAAGCTCATGATGGAAAATACAAGTTATAACTTTGACTTGAACACTTGAATTCTATCACTGGCAACAAATACTGTCAGATGTTTTCCTTGAGGTACAAGGCTCACTTTGTTCATTGTTGTGAAAATGTCTGCCAGATATCCAAATATTTAAAACAATAGTTTATTTTTCAGTTTTTCTTTCAAATAAAAAATATTTTCCATGAAAAAAAGTAGCTAGTTCCACTTAAAATTCACACAATGGCACGAGCATTTTTGCTACTTTGGAATACAGCAGAAGTGCTTTACGTGTACTTCCCATTTCATCATATAGAATATTAAAAAAGAGTGTACTCAAGGGTCAGTATTCAATAAAACTAGTAATTTTTACTATTTTATCAAAGACATTCTTAAGTGAAACTGAATTTTTTTTTACTGTTCATGAAAGTAAAGGACATAATGGTTATTATTAGTATAGTTTGGTGCCACCATCTTGATTTGTGCTGAGACACCAGCAGTTCTACTCACCAGTGCTTATGCACCTTCACTGCAAATGAAGTAAAAAAAGCAAATAACTGTATTAAAATAATTTTGACCAGGAAGATTCCTTTAGGAGTCCTTTCCCCGTGATACTGAGCTTTCTGTTGTTAATTATGAATCACATGTCAAGAAGTGTATTTCAACAAACTAAAGTGGATAGTAACTCTCCAGTATAATCTCATTCTTTTTTTAGTAGTAATATTTAAAAATATCTTATTTATTATTGTATTATTTTATTTTGGCAGGGGGAGAGGTAATTAGATTTATTTATTTTTAGAGGAGGTAGTGGAGATTGAACCCAGGACCTCCTGCATGCTAAGCATGTGCTCTATCACTTGAGCTATACCCTCCCCTCTAATCTTATTCTCTTTTAACATTATATTATGGAAGTTTTCAAACACACTTTATAGATAATAGTACACTGGACCCCATCATGTATCTATTACCCAGCTCCAACAACTATCAGCATCTGCTATTCTTATGTAAGTCCCAAGATTTTTTTTTTTTCCTGCAGTGTTTTAAAATAAATCCCAGGGGGAGGGTATAGCTCACTGGTAGAGAGCATGCTTAGCATGCAGGAGGTCCTGGGTTCAAAACCCAGTACCTCCATTAAAAAAAAAAAAAGGCAAATCCCATATATCATATCATTTTATCCATAAATACTTCATATGATTCTCTAACATTTAAGGATTAAAAAATAAAACATTACAATACCTTTTTTTACAAACAGCAAAACTAACAGCAACCCTTAACCTAACGCCCAAACCATGTTTAATTAACCCCAATTGCTTCAATAATATTTTTTTATGGTTGGTTGGTTTGAATCAGATTCTAAATGAAGTTCATGCCTTGTATCTGGCTGATCCGTCTAATGTCTATTTAATCTGTAGCAGTTTCATTTCCTTTAAAAAAAAAAGTCCTTTATTTATTGAAGAAATTGAGTCATTTTTTTCAAAGAATTTTTCTCATTCTAGATTTGATTAACAGTATATATGTCCATTTAACATGTCTGTCCATCTCCCATATTTTCAGTAAACTGGTAGTTACGTAAACTGGTAGATAGGTCTGAAGACCTGATTAGATTCAGGTACAATTTTTCTTGGCAAGAATAGGTGATGTGTACTTCTTATTGCATCACACCAGGAGGAACATAAAGCCTGGTTGTCCTACTTTTAGTGATGCTAAAATCAATCATTGGGTTTAGGTGAGGCCAGCCTGGTCTATCATAAATTCCCATTAATCTTTTCACCCAATAGTTTAAATAAATATCGATGATCAATGCCTAGGGGTTTTTACACTGTCTCCTTAACCTTTGAAGTGAGTTATGTGTAGAAGGAATAGGTCAATGAATTTAGGAGTCCAAAGAATTAATCTTAAAAGGTGACATCTTAACAGAAGGAAAACAGATCATCTCCCCTCTCCTTTAGAATTCACTTCCACATACATTCATTGAATACCTATGAAGTTCCAGGCACCTTATCTCAGCCTCTCAGGTTAAATAAACCATGTGAATAATGAAAAGTCAGCAACAAATGCAGTAACAGAGATAGTTATGAAGTGCTAGAGGAATCCAGATAAAGGGTAAATAGGTCGGTTTATAGAACTTACAGAAAGTGACATCTGAACTGAAATCCGGGAGGCTGAGCTAGGAATCTCCAACCTCATTCCGCTCTACTCTCCCTCTCTATTTGGTTTTAATCATAAATGTCTTTTTCTAGTTCCTGGAAACTACCAAGGTTCTTGGTTGTTTCAGGATTTCCATGCCTTACATGGACTTATCTTCCTCACACTCTTCACCCAGCTATCTCCCACTCATCTATTAGGTCAGCTAGTCTATCACTTCTTTAGGAAGGTTTTCTCAGACTCCTCAGTTCTCCTTTATTTTTCTCAGAGCATCCTTGTTATTTCTTTACATCACTTAAAACAATTTGTAGTTACATATCCACTTGTGGGATTATTTCTCTTAAGTCTAGATCCTTCAGTAGAATGTAAGTTCCCTGAGGGCGGACTATATTGTTCACCATGGTACACTCACTTCTTTGGACAGTGCTAGGCACATAGTAAGCACTCAATAAATATTTACTGAATGAAAGAAAGAGTAGCAGTAGCAGGCAGATTCCCCTAAGCATCCAGCTGGCCTAGTTTCTGTCATCACTTTGCCATCCCAGAATGACTCAGGTAGAGTCCAGCCCAGGTTGGCGCCCAGAGCAATTGTTGTTTCTTGCAGTATTTCAGATCCTCTGGATATGCGTCCTTATGAGTGGAATGAGGGACCCTCTCAGAGGCTCCCTGAAGGAATGATATTTACCTTGGGGGTTTTGAGTACGAATTTCTGTTTCCCTTCATCAGGGCCCAGCTGTGCCTTCAGTTTCAGTAGTTTTGCCACCTCCTCCTCGATCTGTGGAGGGAAAGTAGGCGCTAGGTAGGCTATCATATCTGTCACCCCCTCCTTCCTCCGCCATTCATTCAGTATCCCTCCCTCATTCGAATCGGAGGCAGATCTCTCACCCAGGCCTAACTTTGCTTCTCTCGGGTCCTACCCCAGTTACCTCCCCACTCAGCTTGTCCTCCTCCCTACCAGTCCGGTCCCTTCTTCCACATCGCTGACCTCTGTGCAGACCACCCCAGCTCTGTCCTCCTCGGCCTTGCTTTGGCCCCTCCCCTGCCGCCTCGGTCGCACCTGCTCGGCGCTGGCCTTCTGCTGCTTGAGGCCCCGCACACGCTCTCCCTGAAGTCGCACCAGTTCTTCCAGCGCCGCTCGCTCTGCCATACTGACCGCCAACTGGAGCTGACCGCTCCTAGATCGGCTGTGGTGGCCGCAGCCTCACCTCGGATGACTTCCGTCTAACGAGTTGCAGGTCTGAACGCCTAGAGAGCCACCATCTAGTGCAACAATCACTTCCGGCTGTACCGGAAGTGCGAAAGCTGGGCGGGAGCAGGAGAGGACCTGAGGTGCCTTTTGGGATTCGGAAGGTGTGGAAGCGCTCTCCTCCTCTATGGTGCTCTGGCTTCGCCTTCACAGCGCGCTGTACCCTTCTTGGGGTCTTGCCTGCCTCCTCCCTAGGTCCTTTGCCTCCTGTCCCGGAAAGTCGGACTCCTGCCTCATGATGCCCCAGCTCGGACTCCTGCATAGGAGGGCCTGGGCTTCGCTGCTTGGCCAGCTCCGGCGGCCTCCCGGTGCTGTGTGCATCCGGGCGGTCCATTCTCATAGCCAGGTGAGCCAGACTGAGATAGCTCTGGTCTGTTGGGGCAGGATCTCCAGGTTTGAAAGCATTGACTCGCGGCCTGTACTCCCGCAGTATTACAGTCGGTTTTTGAGTGCCCACCATGTACCGACACGGAGTTAAGGCCTTTAAGGATGCTTTGTCATTTAATTCTCATAGCAATCGTGAGAGGTTGGGATTACTATTTCCATTTTACATTTGAGGAAACGGAGGTGCAAGCTTAAATGACTTACCCATGGCTACACAGTAAGGGAGACTTTAATATAGGTCCACAACCCCTTATCTGAACCTCAGGGTCAAATATTAAAAAAAAAATTTAAGCAAAATATGACTATTCTTACTAAGTGAGATGACTAACGACCATAAGTCGACTGAATTCGCATTACAGTTTACCTCAAAATGAGGTTCCCCCTCCATTTTTTTTTTTTTTTCAGTTCTCAGAGATTTTGGATTCGTAGAGGAGGGATTGTGGACTTTAACTGCCATCCTTTGGAGGATAGAATCCGCCAAAGTATAGAACTATCACACCCTCTATATTTCTGGAAGGGCATTCAGCCTGCTGGTAATAAACAAAATCACTGATTCTGTTTTACCTTGGGAAAGACAGTATTGTCTTCCTGGTAGATGCTTTTGTGCTATCATGAACAACAGGGCTCAGATCTTTTGTTTTAGTTTGCAGTCACTGCATCCTATTATTACTACTACTACTACTACTACTACTACTACTAC